GGGATGGGAACAGCGCTGGGGAATTGGGGGAAGGGGAACAGACAAGTTGCTGTCCTTTTGTTCTTCAGTCTAGTTGTGGAGGATGTTGCCTCACTGGCCCAAGTTGGCACCATCATTGCGCTCTTCCCGGGTGAGGCAGATCAGTCGCTGGCTTCTGGACGGCCGCTCACTGCAGCTGCTGGCCGCTCACGCTGGCTGCTGGCTACACACGGTAGCCCATGGCAACCCACTGCAGCAGGGGCTGCAGCCCACCCCGACGCCAGCAACTCACAGCAGCCCAGCTCCAGGTTGAGCTGTTGTTCAGCATCTGAGCTGTAGAGGGCAATATCACTGGCCCTCTTATGTGGGATCCAAACCGGGGCCCTCTGGCGTCCCAAGGCAGCTCTTAACCACCGAGCCACTTGGCTGGCCCCAATCTTTTTTTTTTTAAATGGCCTAAAGCTAGAATTACAAACTGACTCCGTTAACTAAAATGTGTTAGGTGCCTCAAATGTGAGAATTTTTCTGTCTCCTTTGCATGTAGATTTCTCACCAAAGAAGGTATGAGATAGCTTTCTATTATCATTTGACAATTTACAAGCACTTTTATACATAAGGTCCTTTTGAGTCCTCACTATAATCGTAGAGGGAGATAATTATTCCCCTAATTTTATATTCTGGGATGTGGCAGCTTGCCCGTTTGAATGATCTCATCCTTTTCAATCAAAAGAAGCTGTAAATTTGAGGTTTACTCCTGCTCAGTCAGCTAGTCAGGGTAGATGTCAGTTCTTCCACTAAACCCTGGGCCAATCATAGGGTACCATGTAGACTGTGTCAGGCCAGTAGCAGAGATGGCACGGCTAATCAGTCTCAATAAGGAGAATACCCATGACTTGATTTTTCTGGGAGCTGGCCCAGCTATGCTAATGCTACATTCAAGCCAAGAATAATCTTCACTGATCACTCATCAGGAATCTTGTGGTACCATGGAAAGAACCCTTTGCGCTTCTGAATTTATTTCAGTTTTGGCTCATCTTCTTATTTGCCTCAGGGCCTAGTGCACGTAGTACCTGATGTTCCAAAAGATATTAATGAATACATAGATTCTGGGGGTGAAGGGGAGTTAGCAGGCAGAGATTTATTATTCTACATGTAACTACCATGGACAGAACCATGGTCTAGAGTAGGAAGACCCAGGTTGGCTTCAGTTTTCTCATCTGTAAAACTAAAGAAAAAAATACCTCGCTTAACATCACTGTAAAGATTTAATGAGAATATTATCTGAAAATACCTGATTCACAATAGGCACTGAACAAATGTTCGTTGACACTAAATCAAATGGCCCAATACCTTGCTCTCTCCTATGGAAACTGGTGGGTTCTTCTGGACATTCAGAATTCTTAACCTCAGATCTTGAGAATGATGATCAACATCAAAAGGTGTTGATTAGGGTCGGCCGAGTGGCGCGTTGGTTAAGAGCTGCCTTGGGACACCAGAGGGCCTGGTTCGGATCCCACATATGAGGGCCAGTGACACTGTGCCCTCTACAGCTAAGATGCTGAACAACAGCTCAACCTGGAGCTGGGCTGCCATGAGTCACCTGCGACGGCGTAGGCTGCAGCCCCTGCGGCAGTGGGTTGCCATGGGCTACCGTGTGTGGCCAGCAGCCGCCATGAGTGGATATCCAGAAGCCTGCGACTGATCTGCCTCGCCCGGGAAGAGCGTAATGATGGTGCTAATTTGGGCCAGTGAAGCAACATCCTCCACAACTAGACTGAAGAACAAAAGGACAGCATCTTGTCTGTTCCCCTTCCCCTAATTCCCCAATAAAAATCTTTAAAAAAAAAAAAAGGTGCTGATTAGATTTGCCAAACCTGAAACAATGACTACCTAATTTTAAAGAAGAATTCACTATTAATTTTATATCATGTTTAATATAAAATTGTATTCTTTGGTAACTTCAGATTAATTTTCCAATATCTTAGTTTCAGTGTATGTATGTGTTTATTCTACCAACTCCCAAACCTAATTATATATCAAAATCACCCAAGGTGTGATTAAACCTATAGATTCCAATGCAAAGATTCTCACTCAGGTCTGGAATAGCTCGGAGAGTTTCAAATTTTACTAAATTCCCCAACTGAATCTCCAGGCATCACTGAATCACTGAAAAAAAACATTCATTAAACACTTTCTAAGGAATTTTTTTCTCATGTGTGGACTACAAAATAGAATTTGTTCACCAAATAAAACACCAAACTATAATGCAATTTCAGAAGAGAACGTAGTGGAAGAAGGGATAACCTTTTCTCTTGTGCCTTACTAGAGTGAAAAGGAAATAACAATCTGAAATTCTGTGAATGCAAGAATCTACTAAAGTGGGAGAAATTTTCTGCCAAATCTTGCCCATTTCAATGATCTTCATTCATCATTTCAAAGGGACTTTTCAATCAAAGGAAGCTGTAAATTCCTTCCTACAAGCTGACAGCCTCATTCTGAGGAAAGTCATAATACAAGAAAAGTCGAGTCTTAGAATGAGAAAAAGGATCTGGGAAGAACTTGAAGAATCTGCTATTATTTGGCTATTTGTTAAATCTTCCCAATATCCCTGATTGCTTATGTATTTTGAACCATATTCTTGATCTATAACAGTGACTTTCTTAGATCAAGAATGAAACCACTTTTACTAGTTCACCAATTCACATTCACGTTCTCACCAAAAAGCATGCCCTCAAACCACAAGTTGGACCATTTTAAGCAGATGCAAGCAGATGGCTTTTCATTATTACAAGGTTTCCCTGAATTATACAAGCATTTTTTCAACTGGAAATCATGTTGTTGGACCATTAGATTCATTTAACATCAAAGCAGAAACAAAATACTCTGGGGTATTTTACAAAAATTTTTTCAAATCTTTCTGAAGTCTTTCCGTGACCTCCTCCATATACATATATATACCAAACAACAACTTTTTTTCTTAAGGTTTATTTCAACTACTTTCAGAAATGAATTTGAGTCAGTATAAAAATTAAAAAAAAAACTAAACTCAATATAAATGGGACATCTAAAATAAAACCAGTTAAAAGACGCACAGAGAGGCCAGCCAAGTGGCTCAGTTGGTTAAGAGCTCACTCAAGAGTTTGAGCTCTGAGCAACAGCGGTTCGAGTCCCAGCTGAGCTGAGCTGCCGCTGAGCTGCCAAAACGTGGCAGGATGGCTCAGCTAAAAAAAAAAAAAAAATGACGCAGAGAGATTTTACATCTACTCTTAGCTAATTAGTGCACTGCTCCATTCTTTTCCAGCCAAAGCAAAAAAGGATCCCTCATGGGTTAGTGTTGTCTCTATTAAAAGAAAGCACATGCACTCTAAGAACCTGGAACTATAGTGCCTTGTTCACCAGGCCAGTGACCAAGGAATTTCCAATGTTTGTTCATATTTTGGGCAGATAACTTTACTTTTACTTTACATTCCTAATCAAACTCTTCTGTACCCTACCAAAAATATCATCAACCATCTCCAGAAGCTCAGGAGCTGGAGAGAGGGGGGAATGGACTATTGTTTAATGGGTACAGTTTGTTTGGATGGAGGAAAACGTTCTGGAAATGAATAGTGGTGATGATTGCACAACACTGTGAACGTACTTAATGCTACTGAATCGTATACTTGAAAATGGTTGAAAAGGTCAGTTTTATGTTGTATATGTTTTATCATAACAGTAAAAGAATAAAAGGTTTTTGTTTTTGTTTAATTTTTATTGAGGAACAGCCATGGTCATTGATTACACATTGTTTTCATGCTACAATGGCATAGTTGACTCTTTTTTCAAGGAGGGTGCAGCTCACAGTGGCCCATGCGGGTATAGAACTGGGAACCTTGGTGTCATCAGCACAGCGCTCTAACCAACTGAGCTAAACAGTCACCCCAAGAATAAAAGTTTTGAGAAACAAAAAACTCACAAGCTAGTATGCTACATGTCCAAATCTTGTGGGCTGCACCCTTCTTAAAAGAGTCAACTATGCCACTGTAGCGTGAAAGCAATGTGTACCCAATGACCATGACTGTTCCCGAATAAAATTTTTTTAAAAAGAAAGTAAACGGAGTGTTACCCTATCAGCCTAACCATCTAGAACCAGGTCCCCTCACCAGGAAACACAGAGGGTTGATCTTATCTTTCAAGCGAATTTGTGTTTAAGAACTTAACTCACCTCCCAACCACCACTTGTAAAAGTGCGTTGAGAAACTTGGATAGAAGGCCTGACTGAAGGGGGCTCCCACGAGTACCCACCCACCATCGGGAGTAAGAGGCAGCTACAGATACATGATAAGGGTAATCGACATAGAGCCAGTTTCGCAGAAAGCCCTCATACAGACTTCAAAACAAACTTGAAAATACCCTTCTCAAGCTCGAAGAATGCCTGGAATTCAGTGGCCTTTATCCAACATAAAGATTCGCAACTCAGTTTTGACTGGGTTCCCTATAGAAGAACCTTGCGATGCAGCCCTAGAAAACTGACAACGCCCGCACTGTTGACAAGCTCGCCTCCTAACCCCTTACAAATGGGTCAGAAAGTGCAAAAAAAAAAAAAAAAGGTTCTCCAAGACTCTGCCGCACTGGAAGTGCACAGATCCCGGCTGTGCGCGGGCCCGCGAGCACCTCAGGGGCTATATAGTCAAGCTCTCAGGTGTGCCGAGAATTTTCAAGGCCCGCAGCTGAAACTCCGCTGGCAGCTCAGGCAGCCCCACCTACTTTCAGCTAACCCTCGACCCGCGTATACCCAAGGCACCAGCTCCCGCCCCCTCTAGACTTGTACTGCAAACAAGGGCTGTGCCAACAGAAACTCAGAGGCCCTTTAAATCTGGTTAAAGAAGAGCTCAACAGGAAGTGAACCAGATCCCATCCCTTGGGGGAGATGGCGCAAGGCCAGGTAGAAAAAGAAAGTGGCTCTCAAGTACCTGAAGTTGCCCCGGGTGCGTGCTCGAACCCACTTCCAGACGATTCCCCAAGAGGAGCCCTGTGAAGCGATGTTAACGCGCCAGGGGCGAGCGAGGAGGTTGGGGGGGAGTAAAAATCTGCTAAGCACCCCGCAGAGAGGGAAAAATCAATACCCCAAAAAGCAGACCCCCGAGGAGGTCTGGAGGCGAGGCATCAACTCGCATTTACTCGCGTTGTCCCTCACCTCCGTCCGCACAACAGATCCAGGGTGCAAGCGTTCTACCACACCCGGGGAATCCCTCCCTCGCCAAAGTCGGGACAAGAAGGAGGTCTCCCGGCGACGCCCAGGCTGCCGCGCCTGGGGCGGCTCTCCTCCCGCCGCGCGGCTGGCAACGCCGGGACGCCCTGCCGGCGCTCCCGGGCCGGGGAGGGAGAGGGCGGTGGGTGCAATACTCGCCTGGAGGCGGGTGGCGACTGCGGTCGGCGGAGTCGGGCGCAGGGTGAAGGCAGCTCTCGGCGACGCTTGGGCGCGCTCCGACGCGGCGCTGGCTGCTGGGTCGCTGTCGCCTGCGCTCCCCGCGCGCGTCTCTGGCGGCGCCTTGTCCGAGCTGCAGTGCGGGAGGCTGCCCCGGGAATGGGCGGGCGCGAGTGGCCTCAGCGGCCGCTCCTGGGTATTATTGTGACTCAAGCTATTTCCTGTTTGGAGGTTTGGGAGAAAGAAAAAAAAAAAAATCCAAGGTGGGGGCAGGGGGAGTTGGGCGGCGGCGAGCCAGAAAGCGGCGTCCTGGAGGGGTCGGGGCGTGCGCAGCTGCTGTCACCTGCTTCCTCGAGACCCCGAGGGTGCCAGATGCGCCAGCCCGGGCAAGGAGACGCAGCTTATTGCTAATTTGGGGTGTCTGGGAGGCCGGATAGGGGGCCTCGCCCTCGCCACCCAGCGGTGGGGTAGGGGCTGCGGTCGCAGGGGCCGCCTAGTCACTCCAGCCAGCGCGCCCACTGACCTGCCTGCCTCTTCCCTTCTCTGCAAAACTGCGCTGAGCTTTCTTCCCGCCCAGGGCAAGCGGAATGGGCTGTACTTCTGCCTTTATTCCTGCCTCCGGTCCGGTCGGCTTTCTAATCCTCTCCAGGGGTACGCGCATGGAAGGGGGTAGGTAGCTCGGCCACTCTTTAAAACACCACTGGAGGGAGGGTTGTGGGCCATTGTGTGTTTGGCGGTGTTGGGGTCTTTGATTTTTTGGGGGAGGGATGAGAAGCAGGTTAAGGATTTTGGTGGAAAGTTTTGAGATCAGCTTCCGTTCCCCTCCCCCACCAACCTCACCCTTAGCCGGGATCACAGGGTCTGAGGCCCCAATCCGGAAATACCGGTTCCTCCCGCTGGGACAATAGGTAAGGGCGGGAGTGCTAACCCCAGAGCCAGCTTAGTCACTGCCGGAATCCCTGCTCAGCCCGGACGGCAGAATCTTCCTCGTGCCCAACTGCACCTGGCAAGCAGGTGAACCTTTCATCCAGTCCGGTTTAAAATCCTGGGGAGTTACTGTTTAATGCGTGCAGTTTCAGTTTAGGTTGATGAAAAAGTTCTGGAGATGGATGGCGGTGTTGGTTGCACAACAATGTGAATGTACTTAATGCCGCTGAATTGTATGGTTAAAACGGTCCATTTTGTGTTACGCATTTTTTACCATAAAAGAAAAATTCCTGGGAAGGTCATGCCCTCATATTTTTCTAGACAGCTTTACTTATGACTGCCAAACCTTCGTCCCTCCTCCCTACACAAACCTTTGCCTGTAATGGAATGAATGACAGGGCTTCTTAGACAACTCAAGCTCACTTACTTTGGACCTCGGGGGGTACCTATCAACACGTTATTCCAAGAAGTGGGTCGATGGAGCCTAGAAAACAGTAAGTGCAGTTTTTAAAAAGATGAAGAGTAGTTTTTCAGAAACAAAGTGTTAGCAAGATGAATAAAGGTGTATAAAGTATACCACTGTTTATCCAAAAAAGAAGAAACAAACATATTGTACATGCATTTGCTTATGTTTTTAATGGAAGGAGAAATTAATAAATAAGATGGTTGTCTTTTTGGGAGAGAGGGAAAAGATGCAAAATACAAGAATAGAAACGAGACTTCTCTGACTAGGTCTTGTTTTGTAGGCTTCACTTCGGCATGATATAAATTTTACATAATTATGAAAAAAATTAAATCAAAACTTTAAAAAGCAAAATGCAACAAATGAATGTGGGTATCAACTTGGTGGCTTAACCATGTAAAGGGAAATTCTGTCAAGTGACTTTAGAACACAGCTATCTGACTCTACATCCCTTAGGTATATACCCTAGGATGAAGAGAATGTTAACAAAAACAAAAACAACTTTTCAGTAATCATAATGTTAGTTGTAAATAATTATGTTAATGTCTTTAAGAATCAAGATTTTTTTCAGTATAAAAGAAATATAAAATCAAAGAAGTTAAGCAATATTAAATTTGAAATGGAATTATCATTTAGAACTCCTATATTTTTCTTTAAAAAAATAATTCCAAGGTCTGCTTTACTCAAAATGCCTACCAAACAGTGACCAACCTGGTAGATGGTCACTGCAACCAGTTCTCGGTGGCCTCTATCCAGCTTCATGCGGAAATAACGTGAAAGAGCCACATCTTGTACCTCCCACCCCAGCTTCTCTGTGAATGCCAGTGTGGGGAACCCATGGAAACTTGGTGCCATGCATACACCACCCCGAAGGGTGGTTGAGTTAATGTTTCATGGTCTAACCTTCCACCAGTGGGGGATAGAAACTGATACATAGACATTCCTCCCTTTTCCCCCAGGATGAACTATCCTGAGACTCAGTCTATATCACCTCTCGGAAATCAAGCCACACGGACTCAACCAATCAGGTGCCTGAAGCCGCAGCCTTCTGGGTGAGGCTCCCTAGAATTGGCTCTCTCTGCTTCTCAGGACCTCATTCCTTTCCCTAGGACCATGCGCCTCCATAAAGCCCACGTTTCAAGGCTCTGCTTCCTGGGAAACCCAGGCTAACATATGTACAAACTGTATCTCAGGATAATTAAGTAGTTGGTGGGGAAATTATTCTACTCCATAAATAAGGAATGACAAAATTTGAATACCAGCATTTTCCCAAAACCCTAATAAAATAATGGATCAAGGCAGTGGTCATCAATGGCCACTAACATCACAGAAAACGTCACCAGACATCATGTGCCATCTGATGGGAATACACAACACTACAAATGACATGATCTTGCCCAAAAAAGCAAATCTGAGTCTGATCAAGCTTCTAGATCAGGGGTCAGCAAACTTTTGAGATGGAAGAGCCAATCCTGTCCCTCACAATTTAAAAATTATTCGAGAGCCATAAAACATGAAATCACCATTATGTGAATAATATCCTTTAAAAATTTTATAAATGAAACTATGATAGTTTTATCTTCATTTTCAATTTTACTTCAGAGCCACATGTACGTCCCCAAAGAGCCGCATGTGGCTTGCGAGCCACAGTTTGCCAACCCCTGTTCTAGATCCAACTGCCAATTTATAGGAACTAGTGGAAGAGAGGAATGTGTTAACTACTACTACTGGGGTATGATCAACCAAATCCAGAATGTGGGAAACATGAAAAGACAAATGACCCGCTTTCCTCAACAAGTAGCAAGGCATTTAAAATGAAGTGGGGAGAAACCTATAGATTAACAGGCTTAAGTAATGTCAGTGAAATACAATGTGTATTTCTTGTTTAGGTCCCAATTCAAGCCAACCAGCCACTGGAAAAAAAGGAGATAATTGGAGAAACTTGATATTCCCTAAATTAGTAAAAAATTAGGAAAATGTTTAAAATGTTTTAATCCATACCATCGATTTAATCTAGTGTATGGTGTTGATGTTGCTACCACATGTGTTTGGGAGGCACATTTATTTTAATATACACACATATGCATACATGCGAAATAAAACACCTGTTTAATTTATTTCTGTATCTGAAATGAACATTTCAGAGAAGAGTCGGATTTTGGACTTTCTTTGAATGTATTCAGGTAGGAAGAAAGGGACCCTGGCTGGCGTATCTGGTAACCAACATCGTCTTTGCTTTTCCCACCCACTCTTTTCATTCTGGGTCCATGCTGTATGTATTCCTTTGTCTGTGCTTTCCTGTAACCAGCAAAATAGCATTTTCAGTAATAAACATTTCCACCCTGAAGACTAAACATTTCAAAATCTGCACAAGGAAATAAAGAGACGCCTCCATGGGCCACAGGGGCAGTATTGTGAAAAATGGGGCAAGAACTCTGGGTTCTGACTTAGAGCTCAGCCGAGGTTCCCTCTCTGCCACTGGCACCAACGCAGTCCCATAGAAACCATCTTGCCTTCCCTGGAGACAAAGCCCTATTCTGCTGCCTCCTGTGACAGGGAGCTCTTGTGTTCTGTGTCCTGAGGTTCTGAAATTGATACTGTGCTTCACCTGCAGGCTGGACAGACAGGATGGGGAAAGGGTCAAATCACAGCCTAAAGTAGGGCACTGCCTTGGTAAGACAGGTGTTTTCTTTACTGGCGATATGTGCACCACAGAGCCCCAGAAAGAGCTTGGTTCCCGGTCTTGTCTATGTTCCTACCTGCTGCCTGTGTGACCCTGAGTTTTGCATTTAACTCCTCTACGTCTCAACTTCAGTCTCCTCACTCTAACGCAGCAACTCCATTTCTAGGTATCTATCCGCCCATCCTCAATACTCACACAAGTACTGAAAGAAATATACTTAAGAATGCTTATTCCTCTGTGTTGGAATAGCAAAAAAAAATTTAAAAATTTAAAAATAATTAAAATTAAATGCCATCAAAAGAATGTCTGGATAAACAATTGTACATCCGTACAATGTGCTAAATGGACTATTCAGAGGTTTGCTTTGTTTCCACAATGAATATTCAATTAATTAAAGTTACAAATCTCAAACCCTGGTTGTTCTTCAGGCTTAACTTTACATGTTTTGTTATTCTGTAAGGCTAGCTTTCATTTTCACTTGTAAAACTTTATTATGTAATTTTTAATACATATAAAATAATGTATGTAACATCTATATAAGCTTTGGAGCATATAATAAAATGAATACGTGAACCCAACATACAATCGATTGAATTACCAGTGTTTTGACCACACCACAGGCTTCCAAATCCTATACCCACCTCTTCCCATCCATTTCAAGATAATCACTATCTTAAATTATATAGTCAATTAAAAAGAAAGTTTCACCAAAACATGTAATCTTCCTAAACAAATGTATTGTTTGGATTTGCTTCTTTTGAGCTGTTTAAAAATAGAATCACACTGTATTTAGTTTTCTGCAACCAGTTCGTTTCATTGCAAATTATATATCTAAGATTTATTCACATTGCTAAGTATAGCTATATTTCATCCAATTTTATTGCCGTGTAATATTCCATTTCTATATTTGATTTTAAATTTTCATTTGGATTAAAAGATGCCTGCTCTCTTAGGCAGACAATTACTTTCTTGGTGAACTTTGGAGAAAAGATGTCAGATCATCACAGTATTAGAATTGGTGACAACACGAGTGATTCTTCTTTTCACCCACATTAGAAATACACATATCGTCCCACGTTATTTAGGCATTTTGCCTCCTAAGCACATCCGAAGTTTTTCACTATACTAGTCTTTCCACTATTTTGTATGTTTGAAATTTTTCCTATATAAAAATGGGGGAGTTGAATTGAAATGACATCTGGATGTTTTTCTTGGCTTTGTCTGATTTGGTGGCCACAACTTTTTAAGGTGTATCATCTGCTGACTGATGCTGAGGAATGCTCTCCATCGGTTAAGAATAGTATATACGAACAGTTTATATCAACCAATAAGCAAAATCTCCAAGATGCATTGCTAAGGAAAAAGGCAAGTTATGGAATAATACATGTGGTATAAATGTGTTTACACATTAAACACATGCATACATATGCAAATGAGTAGAAAAAGGGCTGAAAGGATGCTCAGCATCAGTGGTTAATGGGAAAGGTGAGTGGGAGAGGCTGTGATTTAGGGGGATGGGGGAATGGTGGTGAAGACTGATCTATACATTTTGGGTGCTGTTTTGAATTTAATTAAAGCAAAAGTAAAACAAATGCA